CATTTGCCTTGATTTTTATGTATAACATGGTATAACGACGCACACCCTTGCCTCGAATCTCTCCAGCAGAAAAAGCATACGAAGTCGAGTGTGAGAGGAAATGAGCGCTTCTTGTTTGCTTTTAGGCTATCCTTATTCAGAAGCATGGAGAGAGCAGTGGAGAAAGCACAGGTCTGATAATCGCAACGTTCGTTGTTCGAGTCTTAGTCGGCAACCTTTTTCCTATTTTTTTTTTCGACATAATTAATTTACCTCACTAATACACTCTACATTTTTCGGTCTCCAATTTTCTTGCATTGGACCGCAGCTAGGTATATCGCATCCTCGGTTCATGCGGTCTCCACTAACTTCCTCTGATGATGAATCCCACATAATTGTAAGCGAATCTTACATCCACCGGTTGGGTGTACACACTTCCAGGTTCGAAAATATTCTTTTCAACCCTGGCATGTATTTAGTGTAATTTTGATATTTATTTATTTTTTAAATAAATGGAAACCTCTCACCATATTCTGCTCTTCCGCCGTCGTTATTTGCTTCTTTTGGAATCCCTTGGACTTTTTCTCTAACGCTTCGTATTTCATTCCGTGCTTCACCGGCAATTTCCTTCCATAGACCGTCCTTGGTTGGTTGGTTCTAATATGATTCCGCCTTTTTTGGTCGGTTTGATGTCTACCATATGTTATTGAATTGCCATTTCATTATTTGTACTATATGTCACAAAATTGCTGAATAAAGCCTCCGTCGAATGGTATAGAACTGAACTGATCCTTTTCTGTTCGCGCACTTCGCACTGTCGGGTATTTAAATTGCAATTTTGCAAAAATGTTTATCACGATATTACGCGGCTAGTGCCTTCGCTATCCGGCTCGAAGGACCAAATGTTAACACAAAAAACTTACGATGGATAGTTCTGGAAGGCAGACGTGGAGGACTTTCTTTTGAGATTGCACGCTGGGACACTGGTGCGAAGTAAACACTTAGATTCGTATGCTCTTTGGTAACAGATTGTAGATAACTCTGCTCTTTATTACATTTGGTAGCCTATTTATAATGGTACATTTGTATGTATTTGAGTTGACTTAAAGCACTTTTAGATGAACAGTGGTTGTATAAAGCTTCAAAAGTGTGATGATACAATTATTAACCTCTATTCTTCTAATTCTAATTGGTTCTGAGGTTGTTCACTAGAGATGCCTTGTTCACAAAAGTACAAAATATAATCGATATGATTCAAATTAGGGGAATTTGGCGTGAACATATACCGCCCCCCTTGGAATATGGAACATTCCAACAACATACAACTTCTACTCCTCTTTCTAAACTCAATGGATTTTGCATGTAACAAACTTACAGTAGAGTAACTTTATCTTGGCATAACAATTGTGAATCCTGATGAATGTGGGCGTCTAAGTAGAATACCTCTTATTGATTTCTTCTTGTGTTGTACTTGCGATGATAATATGGACTGAGGCTATCATCCGTTTCCGTATCCCGTATTCCGTGCACTGGTTCGCTGATACTGGTTTGAGAACCGGTGCAGATTTAACTGTATGCTGAATCCTCTATGGTTGCCGGTTCGATATGTTGATTGAAGATGAGAGCTCTTGACTGTTGACTGTTTTTTTCAATTAATTCTGGACCGCTGAGTTCACCACTAGGGCTGCTATTGACCATAAATATCTTGCTACATGGGCCTTGGTTCTGCTGGGTATCGTTCATGCCTCTCTTAGTGCGCTCATGTGTGAATCCTAAGTAGCTGGAAGAATAGACTACAACCCATCCAACTGACATGTATGGACTGGGAGCTACTTAGACCGGAATTGATTTGCCTTTTGATGACTGACAAATCCAATCTCATCCTTTCCGCGAGCGCTAGGAAAGGATTATGCTTGCTTTCGGTGATGCAAGCTCGAAAACCACATCTTTCATGCCAGACGTTAGCAGAAAGAAGTTTTCACTTGTACAAGTGAATGGAACTCCAAACTTATGGAGCGATCGATGAGAGACACGAAGATTCAAAGTGGATAAACGATGCGATGATTGTTCCAATCGAAAATGTTAGTAGTAGCAGTTCCTTACGTAGAACTTGTCTTGACCAGCACTCCCAATATGGCGACGAACTCAAACTCTAGATATACATCCGAGGCGAATAAGCCGGGACTCAGTGGTAGTACAACAAAAGATCTAGGTATGTCTTTGTATTGCTCAAAGTTCTCTTGTATTATCAAAAATAACAAAATTGCTTAATTCAATTTGGCGTAATGGAAAACAAAATGGCCTTACTTCACTGTGGCCTAATAAAAAACAACATTGAAAGAAAAGATTCGGTAATTCATCAATTACTCACGCCAGACTGCAGGTCAAAATGCCAGGTGTAACAACGAATGGTGCCGTTCTCCACAGTGACGGCAGCTTTCGGGATGCTGGCACTGCCTAGCCGTATGTCCCGAGTGCAGACAGTTCATACAAAGTTGGTTTCTGTCCACTAGATCCTTCCGTCCAGCTGGTTTTAATTCGCCAAACCTGTCGCATTGGTAAAGCATATGTCCACTACCACAGACAACACACGAGAAATGTCGAGAAGCTTCAGCGGCTAGTCCAATGGCCTTCATAACGTCGTGAACGATGGTGGCGTGCCGGTTGCTATATTGCACACACACTTGCGCACTTCTGCAGTCGATTTTGCTGTGTCCGGACTGGAGGCACAAGAAACAAAGGGCATGTTTCCTCATAAAATGGCGCTTCTCCCAGAGCTCCATTTTTCCAAAATTAGTACACTGCGTTAGGCTGTGAGAATCTGCACAAAGCAAACATTTTACACCTTTATGCATCGACTGATTCTTCACACTGGATTTCCCGTCTTGTTCTGGTACACTGGATACGAGTTCGTGAATTGTTTTGACAAGATTTTCAGCTTCTGGATCGTCCACAATTTCGGCAGTCAGCAAGTCACGGTAAATGTTGATAGCTACCTGTGACCAAAGCCGCAGAAACTCCATCTTGATAAGACGAACCCTTGTGGTTGGTTGAAACAAAAGAACGGCGTCGAGAAAACCGCGTCGCAAATCCTCACAACGATGTTTCGAACAATTTCCCCGCAAGTTGGCTTCCGCATCCAAGAGGCGTACGTGTTGAAAATGCCGTCGAAGCGCAGACGGCAACGATTTTTCCGTACTGCTCACTAGTGGGACAATCTCCATTTTCACTTGTTTCGGTAATTGTTCTTGGGTTTCATTGTTCACTCGATCACTGTCGCAGACAAAATGAAGCGTCCGTCCGTACCTCTAAACGATCAAACTCGCTTTTCCTTGTGTTAGAGGTTTTGCTTCTACTTTTCTTCGTTTTTAAGTTTGTGTGTTGAGTTCACGTATGGGTATGAGTGTGTTGGATATCACTCTTAAGTTAACTGAACTGATCCTTTTCTGTTCGCGCACTTCGCACTGTCGGGCATTTAAATTGCAATTTTGCAAAAATGTTTATCACGATATTACGCGGCTAGTGCCTTCGCTATCCGGCTCGAAGGACCAAATGTTAACACAAAAAACTTACGATGGATAGTTCTGGAAGGCAGACGTGGAGGACTTTCTTTTGAGATTGTACGCTGGGACACTGGTGCGAAGTAAACACTTAGATTCGTATGCTCTTTGGTAACATATTGTAGATAACTCGGCTCTTTATTACATTTGGTAGCCTATTTATAATGGTACATTTGTATGTATTTGAGTTGACTTAAAGCACTTTTAGATGAACAGTGGTTGTATAAAGCTTCAAAAGTGTGATGATACAATTATTAACCTCTATTCTTCTAATTTTGGTTCTGAGGTTGTTCACTAGAGATGTCTTGTTCACAAAAGTACAAAATATAATCGATATGATTCAAATTAGGGGAATTTGGCGTGAACAAATGCTTTGGAGGAATATGCGTTCAAAACCTAACCACTTTTCGTTACATGTTCATTTTTCGTACTCGCAAAGTGTACCCCCATATAGAAAACAAATACGTAGTCCTACGTCAAAAGGTAATATAACACGAAAAAAAAATGATGATTTTTGCCGTTTTTTAATCCAACATAACGACACAGAAAAAAATGTTTTTATACGTAAATTTTCCTTAGAACTACAGAGAAAAAAGTGTTATTTTTAGATTTACAATCACTTGTTCCATTTTTTTAAAATCAAAACGTATTTTCGATTAAAAATTATAAAAATCAAATTTTTACCGATGAAATATTTTAAATCTTACAGATTATGAAACTAGAGGTTCCAAAATATCATCTAATGAAAAAACGAATGAAGTACATTCACTTTGAATAAAAATCGCCTTTAAACATAGCGTCCCCCCCCCCCCCCCCGCAATGTGCTAACGTAATTATTGAATGGCCCCATACGGCGGAGAGCCTGTTGCGCACCGGCAAGAGACTTCAACGCGAAATAAGCGAGGAGCGCAGAGCAAGCACAAGAAGACGTGAGCGAGTTTGTTTTGTTTTTCAACACATGCTTCAACATTGCATCCGTTCGAGTCGATCTTTTTTCGCTTCCAACCATCAGTTTTACGAATTGGGAAAATGTATGCTTATGTTGGTAGGAGCGCGTGAGAGTTCCCAGCGACCGGGCAAACGAAAGAACCAGTTCCGAGCAGGTTGCACTACGCGATCGCGGCCACTCGTTCGTTAGTTCGATCGACTCAACGGTTCTCGCCGGACGTGTGTTTCGCGCAGCTGTCCACGCAAGTTCGCTCTGGGAGGCTACCCTTTCCTGCTTATTTATTTTTTAAATTTCATGCACCCTCTGAAGCGCATTGTGACGCGCATTTGTTTCTGTTGCCCGTTTGCCGTCTGACTTTGATAAATTAATTCTTTGCTGCTCTTCGCCGCGGTGTGTGTTGTTGAACTAAAAGGGAAATACACGCGTCATCCTGTAAGCTCCGAATCCCGCGAGTGCAAAGAATGAAAAGGTTTGTTGTGGATAAATATGGCGTCGGTTGTTGACGATGGAACTGCATGCTGACCCGTTCCGAGGCAACAGGCGATGTGGTGCGATGTAGAATTCCAGGATAATCGATATCCGCTGCGTCGGCATTGATGATGGATCGACGCGGAAAGCAAGTGAAGTCTCGAGAGTGACCGCCGAGGTTAATTGCCTGTGTGTTTGACTGGTTGTAGATTGATTGGTGTGAAATCTCTCAGTGGATACTTCAGAAGCCGACGGAAAAGAAGTCATTATTACATACCGCAAATGGATCGTAGTGAAGTGGTTTTGAATTTCCGATTGTGATGGATCTAGGAGAAAAAAAAATGACCGGTTCGAGTCTGTGAGTGAGGTGAAGAAAGGTTATTGAATGTTATTTCTGTCTTCGAGCATAATTCAGGCAGAACAGTGTCAACAGACTACACTATTGGATTATGCAAAGCACACAATACGACACAATACATCACGCATCGATGCCGTGCCTTCGACATCGGGGAGAAGATAAATTAAAAATTCCGCCGCTTGCCTCGATTCTGCATGCAACGAAAAAAAGTTATTCCATTTTTCTGCCTCTGCTCGTCTAAAGTCTGGAAACCAGTCCTGGGGTTGCTGCGATCAGTGATCTTTCCTTGTGCTGCTCTCTGTGGAAACTTCTGCTCCAAGAGTGCAAGCGTGTATTGGTTGCCCGTGGTGGGTGAATTTGTGTGCGTGTGAAGGCGGTGAACGTATCAATGAAGAATTACACTCCAAGCGGAATACCAATTGCGCAAAATAACATCGGGTTGCGCGAAGAAAAGTAAACCCAAAAGTCGTGAATAGAGAATAGTGGTTGGGAAGAATAAAACTCGCAGAAGCAGAAGACAACAACAGAAGAAATAATCCGCCTTACTTCGACTTGTGCAAGCGGAGTTGGAGTTGAGGACGACGACAACCGCGACATCGACAACGGTTGCTATTTGGTGCAACTGTTTGCTCGTTGGGACGTGAAGAAGGCAGTAGTTTCAACGTAAATAACAAATTCATGTGAGTTCGACGACAGTGCAAGCAGGGAACAGCGAACACGAGTGAAGAAAGAAAGCATTATACATATACGGCGAAGCCTCTCGGGAAACAGTTGGCATCACACTGCGGGAGTGTCACGGATTAAAAGGTATGATGGACATTTCTCTTAGGGTTACATTTTTTATAAGTGATTTTTTATGATAAAAAAATATATATAGAGTTGCGTCCTACACACGATGTACGTAAAGAATTTTTAGAGTGTGAAACGCATTTTGACTTTTTTGCTAGGGGCCAGACAGCTGTACTCAGAGTAAATATATTTGCACCAAGTAAATTGGAGTTACTCACATGTACTCAAAAATGACCAAAGTAGTCTCGATTTTCTGATGTTTGATGATGTGGTGGTGTTATTTCAGGACTATCCATATTGGTACTCGACCAGAGATTTGAGAAGTTTCTGACCTGTGAACATAAATAGCTTATTTCGCCTAGTCTGTAAAAGATCCCTCTCATCTTGTTGAACTAATTTCGGACATGAGGATATCCAACATAAATATTGAGCTATATAATGACAAGTGCTACTATGTTCAAAAGTTTCTTTCTATTGTTTGTTTATGTGGGATTTTCTTCGGTAAGTCCTGGCGACGTCCTGCAAGTACTCGATGCTACTGCTGTCGACAAACGGTGACTGGTGTTGTTCGAACCGATGGGGTATGATGGTTTGTTGACTGCACGCGTCACCTTTCACGCGTCTTTCCTCGTTTGCGAGGATTGACACGACCTAGGACGAGACCGTGCCAAAAGGAGAATGGTTCTTTTCGGTTAGAGGTATCTTTCCCGAGTTTTAAACCTCCTTCGTGGTCAGTCGAACCAGAGGTTGGAATTAGTCATTGACTGTTAGGCGAAATGTAGCTTGGTCCACTTAGCCGAATCGTGTGATTAGGCCTGACCAGTCCAAAATGGAGGGATCTGGTCTATAACACACGAGCGCCTGTTACAAACCTTCAATTCGATGTTTTTCTTAATTGCACCATGTGATCGAACCTTCAGGTAAATTTAAACTATAGCGATGAAAACAAGGGGTAATTCACTCAGCACATTGTGCTGAAATTAGATTCTGCACAGCTCGGGCATATCCATCGGCACACCTTCGGCATACCTGCGGCACAATATCGAAGGCATTGGATTGTAGTAAATAAAATGGGAGCCCTGCTGGACAACTGTCATTGAAATTGTTCACAACATTACGTGCTGTTTGACTGTATATTCAGGAACATCCTCTAATTGAATATGCCAGAGGTACTCAGACCAGCAGTTCACTTATAGACCTAAATACGAAATTTTGGTTCTAGAATGGGCTCAAGTGAAAGAGGCGGTTATTCAGACCCCATTAGTACCCTTAATTCAAATAATGATGCAACTCACACAAAACAAACTATAGAAGTCTACTCAGCATCCTCTATACTCGGTCTCCAACAATGTTCCCCACCGGTTCCATCTCTTTCCGGCCGCTGATAGACCGTTGCTTTTCACAGAACGATAGGCTAGGTTTCTGGTCTGGCTTTGAGGGCATTATAAAACCCTAAAACACAGGACTTCTATCATCCTTTGAACATAAAACACCAAAATTTTACACACCCGCCACTTCCCGCGTCATCTTCAATCCGATTTATCCTTGCGATTTCAAACCAAAACATTCAAGGTGTCAGAAATACCGGGTTGCCGGGATGCGTATTTTATAAACAATTGCAGCTTGCTCTATGACCGGCACAATTGGCACACTTGCGCCACACTGACAAAAAAGATAACCCAAGATTGGTGTGCGGATTGACCTACCCCTTGGATGAAAGCCACTGGGAAGACGACACGGCCATGCTTAACGACCGATTGTTGAATAAGGCGTGACCACAGCAAAATTGTGTCACGGAGTCACGGGTTGATGGGGTGAAGGGTCCTGCGATGTTCAGTGAACGGCCATCGTTCACTTTAAAACAGGCGATCGTGTAGACCAGAAATGATTAGCTAATGGAGTAAAATGATTACTTAGGGAGCCTAGTGCAAGTAGTGGATCGTAGTGAACTGTTGAACACTGATTTCACGGATTCAGGACCTTTTCCGTACATTTTTTAAACCACTTTCTGGTTGGCAAGTCTTGGACCTTCATTTCACGATACAGTGGAAGTGACTGTCTAGTCACGGATATCTAATTGCCAAGGACCATTGTTCCTTGCGAAGGAGGACACCGGTCACGGGCAGACGGCCCTAATCGATAAGGATAGATTCCGTTCCCGCTTCGACAGAGGGAGGCGTGCCACACCGCTAATAGAGTGTTTACATCTGTGCGGATTTACTCGCGGTAGTGTACTCGCCAACTAGCACGAATTTCAGTTGCTCCTGAAATTTCATGCTGGTAGACGCTGATGCCTGATGAGAGCTCATTAGTGCTGAACTAGCCTAAGTGTAAACACCACATAAATCAAACCGCCATCGCACGACAGCCAACGAACGGTAGACGCGTTAGTCAGACCGCCGTGGTATTGGCTTCTTGCTGACAAGGTCAGCTTTTGATCGTCCACCATCGCTGGAATCGTTCTGGATTTGAGCACTCGCTGGACTGCATTCGTCGTAGTCGTCGCAAAGTAATCCTGCGTAAGTGGAACGACAATTTAATATTCTGCACTTCTGGAATATTAGAATAAAATCTGAATATTTAAACATTGTACGAATAACACCGTTCTTATGTTGTGTAGTTTTATAATTGGAATAGAGTATTAGTTTCTTTTTTTAATTGATACTTTCATCATTGAAAACTGGAAAGCACGTCAACTTACTTTATTGACAGTATTGGTTTCAACATTGTTTTCAATATAGCAATCAGGTTGCTATGTGTATAAGATATTGAGCAACGCGATTTACACAGAGTTCCTCAAAATTAACTTCGATTTTACTCATGTTCGAAAGTCTTACCCCCCAGCTGTTTTGAGTAAAATTTAAAATATTAAAATAATTTATTACTTAAATTTTTTTTTTGTCAATCGCATGCAATAAAAACCGTAATCCGGGTCAAATTGTTTATTTATTGACGTAAATATAGAAATAAATTTCTACATTAAACGAAATTAGCAAACGAATGGTATTTAAATCATTAGCTATGAGGACTGCACCGTTTGGCGTAACTTATGGCTTATCATATTGGATGTTTTGTTTATTTTAAGGACATTTTTGAAATCTCAAATTTGAAAATGTCGATTGGGGTGAAATAGATCAGCCCCTTAAGTGGCTTTTCAGGGCGTTTCTAGTAAATGCTCTTACTAAATTTGGTTTCGCTGAATTGGAATCGCTGCATTCCTTGTGTGAAGTCTATTTCCAGCAGAAATGTCAAGAACAGATTTCTTAAAATGCACATTTGCGCCTCGATGAAGACTTTTTTTTTCTTTTAAAATTACTGGAAATTAATATAAATTGATTTCTTGATACACTTAAGTCTTAAAATGTGGGAGTTGTACAAATACTTTAAAAAAACATCTTGGTAGTCAGGCTTTTCCTGTTGCGTGTTTTGTCTGGTTTCCACTATATGAGACAGAATGAGAACGGTACGAGTGTTTTTGAAATCATTAATCATCAGCCTCGGGTTCTTGTGAAAAAATGCTTATAATGCTGTAAATGACCATCGTAGTCGTGATCTCCTTCACGCAAAAAATATTGAAATTTAAATAGTATAATGAAAAGCTACGACTAGTAAAAGTAAAAGCTAATTAGTTAGCGGAATACGGTCCTGTGCTGCTGATGTCCATGAACAGGATTTGGCGGGAGATCGTGATTGTTCCTGGTGTGCCTGATGGGTGATGGGTTTCTACTGATTACCCGTGTTCTGTTTTTTGTTGACGGCAACAGATTCTTCAACGTGTCTCTTCAGAAAGTTCTTCTGCTTATCATGAACGGCCTGCAGTCGAGCCATTTCGATATTGGCAGATGTCCTTTTCCTGATTGATCTACCACTGGCGGAAGTTCTCACTCTCCGTTCACATCAACTTGACCAGCTTCACTCGGATTGCCTTCGTGGCTTGGCTGCCAGCAGGACTTCAATTTCCTCCTCAATCTTCTCCGCCGTCGGCGTTATTAACTGATAGTTATCCTGCATATTTAGTGGACAGAAGTTGCAGCTGCAAAGTTTAAATCTTGTCAGTCATTGCCATTGCCATTGGGTTCATTCCATTATCCAACTTCCGCTAGTTAGTCGAACGAACCATTCTAGGTTTGCTTCCTGGAACCGTCGAGGGGCGATTTGCTAGAATTCAACTTTCATTCTTCTCCATAAAAATCAATCATATCTAAAACGCACCTGAAATATTGTCCTTCTCTCCAGCACTGTACACTAACAGTTCCAATCGCAGCTCCTGAATCACGGCATTAAATCCGCCAGATTCAGATCTTGATTGACCACTGCCTTATTCTTGGTGTTCTTGGCCCTGCAAAAATCGTAACAAGTAGCGGAATACGGTCCTGCGCTGCTGTCCAATTAGTTTATTAGTTTTCAATTAGTTTATTGGAACCTGTTGGAAAATAGTTCAATGTGAGAGGTATCACTATTCTGTTATCTTGTTCTTATTGTTTGGATCCAGGTTTAGACAGTATTCATCTTAGCACCTTGTAAGATTGGTTCTTGATTGTCCTGACTCTTTTATAAACTTGGAACTTTCCCTCAGCACCAGTTTCACCAGATTGATAACTGTAACGAACGAGCATAGAGCATCAAATAGTAAAACAAAATACAACCAATTGGGTTCTATTGAAAATCCTAAGAAATAAATGTTTTTTAGCTTACTTAACGACGATTGAATGAAAGTAGTTTGTTTCTGCTTGCAAAATAGAATCATAATTTTGACCAGGACATACGGCAAACTAAATACACTACCTTGGTATATTTGTTTCATATTCCTGATTATGATTAAATTTTATTCTCAGATAGATTACATTTTATACATAGCGTTGCGTAAAAAGTTCCTAATCGAAAAAGCAATGGTACTCAGTACGGAAAACAATGTCGACGGAAAACAAAATCCACTTGAGGTCACATCTAGAAGTTCTCAGATTCAACGAAGTATTGTACGATTCCCGAACCCAAAACCTTCGTGAAGTCCCGTATTA